AATGGAACCATTACAACAAAAGCCTAAAAAAATTGAAAAAAAAAAACATAAGTACGTTTTCTGTCTTAAAGATTTAACTTAACTGTAGAGTACCTTGAGGATTAATAATGCAGGACTGTAAACGAAGGCACAGGCATCAAGACTTACCTTCATCTACAGCAGGCTTGTCTGCACTGCCCTCATCTGGGCCTTCTTTTGACCTACAGAACATGTCAGAAGTGTTCAAGTTACCACCTCATCTTGCCTCAATGGCCATTTGTCTTAGATGTGATACTAGAAAAATGATTCTTACTTAATTCTGGATGTAGGTGACAAAACTGACCTATAAAGAAGCACAATGATGAAACAAAATAACAGATGAAACAACCTAGACCAACTAAGATGTCCAAATGAAACCAAATACTAACAGTATGTAGACAGGAGTCCATTCCTCAGTTAAACTACAGGGAATATCTATTTAGCCACTTACGCGATGTAATCCTTGATTTCGTCCAGTGTGATGTCCCCGACTGAGTCCTTTGACTCGTCCGCTGTACTGTCCAGAATGCTGGTGTTCTCCAGGGTCTTCTGGATGTCAGCAAGCACACCTGTAAAACATCAACAACTCTGTACTCCTGCAAACTTCAAGTTTATCTGCCATTTTATATTGAGTACTAAAGTGACCAAAAACAAAGCAAACTTTTGAGGGTATTCTATACACATTTAGAGAAGTATAATGTGAGTATGAGCTGTATTGCACTGCTAGCTAATGAAAAAGCATCATGCTTCATCTCTCAGTCTGAAGTCAGCTTCACTTTTAATGTGAGATGTGAGGGATAGAAATGTAAGCCATACAATAGCTGATCTTCTTCTTACCTTCTGCTTCGTGTTCAGATTCTGGCTTTTCTGGTGCCGCTGCCTCCTCAGCTGCTGCTTCTTCTGTCTCATCCTCACTGTCAGGGGACCAGGGAAGTATTTTAGTCAAAGAACCCAACATAGCTCTGTCCCTTTTCTTGCAATACATGCATATTATACAGTTCAAGGAAGAGACACTGTGAAGACTGATCTGGACTTAACATTTTGCACATCATGCCTCTGTATAAGACAAAAGGAGGATAGCCCTTCCTGTCAATAAATGATTCTTGAAATACCTGTTGTTCTCCAATCCTCTCATTCAGGAACATTTGCTACACGCACTTTTGTAACATGCCTGGTAATGCAACTCTAAAGGATGTACATGTGTCTAATTCAGGTAAGATTTGGGACAGGAATTTCAGCCACAGAATCTTATCTCAACTGGACACTGTCATTGATGTGAGTCCTGAAGCACCTTAAAATCACCATGTAAGACTGAAAGAAAGTGAGTGCGTAAGAACTAAACCACGGGCGAAGAGGCCCGGCTTTACACAGAGCATGCATTAGTGGTAATATCTGCTTCCCCCTCCTCCTGCTGTGCTGGTACCATGCAAGAGGAAAGACAGAACAGGGAGGAAAACTTAGCCAAGAGCTCTGCCTTACACTGGGTTTGGAGGGCTGGTTTCTACAACGATGGCAGGAACACTTGGAAGAGTCTCTGGTACACTGAAGGCATGGAAAATAGGAGAAGGATCATGAGTACGGGAATCAGGTCATGACAGATTACTACTAACTACAAAATCACTTGTAATCATGTAGGGATCTAGTACTACGATTCTCGATTGGTTTTGATTGTGATGATTGTAGTAGGAGCCAGTCCTGCCACGTGTGGCCAGTTCTAACCTTGCCGGCTTCTCCTCTTCAGTCTTCTCCCCCTCTCCCTCAGCCTCTGCTGGGGCCTCAGGTTCAGGTTCGGGGAGGGGGTGCGGGCCGGGCACCCTCGGGCAGTTCCAACATACACAGGGGTTCCACCGCCACCCTGGCCGACAACGTGCACCGCTGCAGTTCCGATGGGGACAGCAAGAAGAACGCTGGAGACAAACGTTCACGTTAATACCACATTCATAAACTGTACATAATGAAAAACTTTCATTAAGACAGTTTGTATAACCTGGCCATGTTTGTACACTGCTACCTAGATGGAAAGTGACAACACAACATTTCTCTTCTTGTGATCTTCTATCTTGGTGCTTTGATTTGATTCAAGATACTGAGTGCACAAGAATAGTTCGCAATCTGTACCTTCTCCGTCCCTGGTGAAGATGGTGGAGGTGATGCCGTTGATGTCCTCCTTTCTCATGCAGCTGTGCTGCACCTGCCTGCGCAGCTGTGGGATGCTGAACACCAGGAAGTCGCCCACATTGGTCACCAGACTCAGGTGCTGCTCCAAATGCTTCTCATCTGCAACAACAGGTGGTAATATGGTCAGCCTCCATTTGATAACTTTTTGAGCTATGCTGTGGGAGAACAAACCAACAATCTAATTACAATAAACACTGGTAAAACAGGTAAAAGTAATGAGCCTCACCACTGCGGCTGCGATATTGTGTGAAGCCGACCTTCCTGACCCTGACTCCTTCCTTGGCTGTCAGCTTGTACTTGGTCTTCTCCTTCAGTCTGGGCAGAGTGAACACCTTAAACTGTTCCTCGCTGGCGATCACCACAGTGTGGGCGCCGTTCATGTTGGGGGCGTCCGCCCGCTCGTGTTTCACGTCCATGGGGTCGGGCAGGGGTACGCTGCTGGCGTCCATCACACTTAGAGCCACGACGGGGGCACGATGCTTCAGCTGGACTTCTTTGCCTGTATAGGTCATAAGTCACTAACAATCACACATCCTTGTAGGAAAGAATTACATTTGAAAGAAGCCTGGATTAACATCTACTGATCTTAATTCAGTACAACCTGCACTCTACATAAGGACCATTGTAGCCACTCCTTAGCGGTCTTTAACCAATGATTACAATGTAATGGCTACCCATGAACCCTACCACAAATTCGGTACCACAATTAGAGTTGCTCTACGGAGGATGCCACAAGGGGAAAGATCTAGAGGCCGTCCAAAAAGAAACATGGAGAGAGAAACAAGGGGACAGGTCTTCTCCCTTGATGAAGCTACCAGAGTGGCGGCAGCCTGGACCAGGTAGAGGGACTTCTTGATGCCTTGAGTGCCAATTGGAACTGAAGAGGATTGAGAGAGCGAGTGATAATCATGAGCATCGTACCCAGTTCTGCCACCACATCCTCCTCCTCTCTCTTGTCTGCCTCCGGCATGGTCACACTGTACACAAAGATGCCGCCTGAGTTGGTGCCGGCCCATAGAGACAGCCCGGCTGAGGCACCCTCACGTAGGAATGTTTCTGCAAACACCAGACATCTCACCTAAAACAAAACAAAAATTGTTTTTAAAAGCACTCAGGGATGCTATCTTCAGAGATCAAGGTTTCCATCCAAATTGTGGAGGGGAATAAGAATTCCAAGAAATATTTGGTTGACTTCTAATGACTTTATTTGCGATCATACTTCTTTAAGCTACATGCTTGTCTCTCATAATACTAGTGCCACCATAAAACAATATCTTTACATTCTATCTTCCCATGATTTTGTAATGTTTTTTTTCTTTTATAAAAGCTATTTCATTGAAAACTGGCATCACAACACAAAATTAAATTTTTTCATACAGATTCCATATCTATAATTGATAGAATGTAATTTTTTTCTTCTAAGTTCTATACTTTTTTTATAGCTATCAGATAGATGTTCCAGGGGTACAAAAGCTGCTAACAATGCTAGATAGAACCTCACCATGCTGGCCATGTCTCCATCTGGTTGCCTTGCCTCCACGAGCCTCTGTACGGGCGCCGCTGCCTCCTCCCCCTTCTCTGGAGCGTCCAGATCTGTCGTCGGCACGGCCTCCACCCTGGGCTTGGCCTCCTTCTTGGATGGCGTGCTCCGTGACCCACGTTTCCTCAGGCGTCTGATGGACTCCCTCAGCGACTTCTTGAGGGACTTGCGGCGGGACATGCTGCTCTCCCCGGTGGCTGAGAGGTCGTTGGGGTTCAAGGTGCACTTGGTGAGGATCACCTTCTTCTGTACGTAGTCAAAGATGGAGAAGCCATGGCTGGTTCCAATGGCAAGCCTGCAGGACAACAAGGTAGGGTTAACAGTGCCCCCTGCTGATCTACAACAGTACTACAGTGCTCCAATAAAATACTAAAAACTACTGGAAGGTAGAAAGAAAGCATAAAACCAATGGCAAGTCAGTAGAGAATTTTACTACCATCTTTTCCCATTCTCTACTGAGTCTACAGACAAGCTGGACACCTCAAACACCTGTTGTAGGAAATGTGTTACAGATGATTCACAAGATCTACTGTGTATGTGTGTGTAATTTGTGAATAGTGACTCTAAAGTCAATGGGTCTTCTATATGCAAAAATGCAAGTCTGCAACATTCTTCTACACTTAACAATGGGAGAGTTACAGTACTCACAGCTGGTTTTCTGAGTGGTTGGCCAGGGCAGTGACTGAGGCTGGTGGGGTACACTGGACCAGGTGTTTGGCCTGGAACCCGGCGGGAACCTTCACAGTTGTGCTCCTGGGGGTCAGACTGTCGTGTCCTTTCCACACAAACCCATCCCGGTCATTCACAATGTTCACAGTCGTCACCTGAGCGGTAAAGGACAAATCATTATCACCTGTCTTTCTTTATTTGTCTTTCTGATTTGTTTCTTATTTAATGTGGGACAGCATTATTTGAGAAGAAATCATTTCTGTTGCTATGACTGATGCGATGTCTTGTATATAGTAATCATTCAAATTGGTACTTCTAGCCAGCCTGAATTTTTTCCCATCATCTCAATTTTGTTGTTAAGTGTTGCAGACAATCCTAAGGGGTGCAGGATAATGAAATTTTGACCCTCTGAAATGCTAGTTCTTGCATTTGAGAAGCAAATTTGGCTGGTAGACTAAGCTTATTCAAATGACATCCCTTTCCATATCTTTACAGGCCGATGATGGATTTGGTAAATTTTTTGTTGATAACGAGCAGCGAAATTAGACAGAAAGACTGCCGCTGGCTAGAACACAGGACAAGACCACCCGGCTCACCTCCAGGTCCACCTCGGCCTCCTCTGTGTTGATATCCAGCAGCACCACCTGTCCTGCAGTACCGGCCAGCACCAGCGTGCCGCTCCACGGGCACAGCAGGATCTTCTGCACACCCAGCCGAGGGTCATCACTGTACGGGTCAAACGTACCCACCTGCCAAACACAGAAGGAAACACTTTAACTATATACATGTCCTCATACAAAATATCCACAACATCTTGAGTGCCACGAGAACTAGGTAATTAAAGAGCAGCATCTAAAGCAGCATGTTAGTAACAAGTAATTCATTCCTAGATTTGGGAAAATGACAGCACTGAGTATTCTCAAGAAATCAAGTAACAACAAGTAATTCCTCATCTAATTACAATATCAACTCATCAACAATCCATTAAAAACAACCATACTTACTGCACCTGTCTAAAATTGGAAATAACCCTTATTTGTGCATTATGTTTTTATGTCAAGTCTGTTGGTACACTTGACATATGATTGTCTTGCTGATCTCAGTTTGTATTTTAACCACAGACTTACTTTGCGGAATGGCGGCCAGTCCTCCTCGCCGGCGTCTGCGGCGGCCACCACCTCGCTGTCGTCATGTGTGCTGAAGTACGCCTTGGTGTCCAGTTTGTACAGCAGACGCAGCGCTGGGGTCGACACATCCCAGAACCGCACAGAGCCGTCCTCGTGTCTGGGGGAGGAACAACCAAGACTTTTCTTTAAAACGTTTTACTGAAAACTTGCAACAGGTATCAACAACACAAAAATTAGAATTGTTTTCTTCATGAGACTGTACTTTTTTTCCTTTATACCTGTATCAGATAAATGTAAAAAAGAGTTTGTATAGAAGACGCAACGCTGGCATAGACACGTCCCAGAACTGCACTGAGCTGTTCTTGTGTCTGAAGAGGGCACAAGCAAGACTTGTGCAAAATCTGTCCAGTTGCTTGGGTAACTGTTATCTTGGTTTCTCATTACCTGGATGTCTAACCTTCATCAAGAAATCACGATTTTTCTTTAAAAATCTTCTACATTCTCAAACCTACACAGTCAAACCTACATACTAGCGACCATATCTGGATTAGAACCACCTTATTAACCCTTCCCTTTTATCATCACACATCTATAATCAAGGTGTCGTGATGGCTATGCCATCTTTTATCTGGAAGACTAGAACGTTGTCTGTCAAAACAATTTGTGTCGCACGTACCCAGTCAGTAGCAGGTCCTTTGATGTCGGGGTCTCTGACAGGACACTGCCACCATCAATCGGCCACTCCTGAAAAACACACCAAATTAGTTGCTTCCACCTGATCTGCACAAGTCATTTAACATTCAGCACACTGAAGTAGTCATTTGACAAAAAATTCTCTGCTGGTTATGGCAGCAGGGAGAAAGTATAATAAGGAAGGCCCACTTTCACTACTCAACTTCCATAAGCTTCATCATCATATTCCATACTCTTAACAGCTGTAAAAATCATTTTCTGACTTCAAAGATCCTTTTCTAGTTGCTCATAAGGTTTTAAGATGAAATACAACCTCTATCAACACTTATCTGCCAGCTCACATGCATCCACCACCCTGAAAACATGCATCTCAAGAGATTTTCAAAGCAACATCCTCCAGTAACTGCACTCCCGCATATCTAGATTGTGAGGTCTCCCAAATACACTGTTTTGCACAGTGGATAGAACCCAGTAACCAGTTAGATAATGAGTTAATGGAGGTTTGTGTACCCTGCTGGTGTGGTTGGCGGCCATCTGTGCATCCCCGGCGGCCGTGATCTTGTCCCACAGCTGGTCGGGCACGTTGGTCTGTACGGCGGAGCACGTGATGGCGGAGGAGTGGAGGGAGGACAGGTACGGCATGCGGAACGTCGGCCAGCCCTCCGACTGCAGGTCCATCAGAACCAGCTCCTCCTCAGCCAGGACCACCAGGGTGTGGGGGTCATCCCACTCTGTAACACATCACAACACAGTTAGTGGTGCAAAAATATACCTAACTATTCACCAACACCACCAGGGTGTGGGGGTCGTCCCACTCTGTAACACATCACAATGTTATTAACACCCAACATACCAAACAATAGGAGTGAAGTATGGCATCTTTTTGAGGAACACAAAAACAACCAATGCACATTTTCTACTGACCTTTTCTTTATCTCTATATATACAATGCCATGTATTTCAAATATTTGCAATGTTCAGCAATCCAGAATTTAGGGAGACTGGAAAGCAAATTTGGTGGGGTAGCACCTTTCAGAAAATCTGTCAAAAGTAGACTCAATTTACATCTGACAGCTTTCTCACCAAGACCTTTATACAAACACAACCGCCACAATCTTTGCTGCTGTTAGAGTGATTTCCTTACCGCATTCTCGGTCAGTGTCTCCGATGGTGAAGAAGTCGACCACGCGCGATGTGAAGTCGAACACGACGTGAGTCTTCCCCTGCATGACGGTGACACAGTGACGGTCCCCGTAGCTGGCACGCGGCATGCCTCCTGAGAACGCGATGAACGGCTCACTGGAGGGGACCGGATGGAAGTTAGTCACAGCACTTAACCTGACATGTTAGCTGTACGTATCTATGCATCAGGAATACCACAGTTCTGATTTTACCTGCACAAACCTGCATATACAGGTGCTGTTTCGAGCCCATTTTGAGCCCATTTTTTAATATCTATCTCATCATGCTGAAACTAACTGTAGTTGAATCAAATTCTCTAGACAATCCTTTTGACGTTAACCCAAACCGACACTGAAAACTTGTTGACTTCTTTGAGTAGCAATGTGCTAAGGCTTATTTTTCTCAGTCAATGCAATATTTGATGCAATGCAAAATTTCACAAGGTATACAGACTTGAAAAAACAACTCATTGACAAAGGATGTGCCACAACTTGTTGAATAAGTGCTAGTAAGATTCTTGTGACCTTAACTTGAGAAGGACAAGACAGCACAAACACCTTCAGACTACAGCTCCAAACAATTATCCCCTTTACATGCCATCCCCCCACTTGTCTGAAGAGGAGAGTGCACTTAAGGATGTCCATTTATTTAGGGTACTCTCTGACACAGGTAGGTGGTGACAGGTGAGTGCTTTAACATGTCTGCTCTTGCCCTTAAGGCAGGTCAGGTGTTAAGAGGTCACACTGACTGCTATAGTGTGATCTCCCAAGAAAAAAGGTAGAAAATCAAATACCAGCACCTTTAGGAACGTACTCTTAGTGGCAGCAGAAGCTTTTTGGTAAGCTCTCTATTTGAGAGATATGTCAGAGTTGGTACTATCCATTCAGTACATGTAAGTGTGACAGATAGGCAGAAATTCCACAGAGCATTATTGTAATTTACCTTTTGTGGTCAGCCATTGTATCTTGTTAATGGCCTTGCATGGGAAAGGTCCTGTGAGGTGAAGGGAAACAAAGACAAGGCTTTAGTGTGAGGGTTGTTCTTCATGTCATGCCATGTAAACACTGTTAGCAACACAACTTCTGCCTTTGTTTGTTTACAGCAGCATCACAAGGTCACTTTGGAGGCAAATTTCCTTTCTTTAAGATGTAACAAAAGATACCTAAATAACAAAACTGTGCAAGCTTTACCAACACTACAACGTGTCAATATCAACAACTATTGTGGCCAAATCATATGTCAATACTGTTAGTCTTTGTGATACAAATTATGTGCACATTCCATTTGATCAAAAAGCTGTCATACAAATGACAAATTGAAAATTTTGACTGTTAACAGTTAAGGGGATTAGATGATCAGAGGTAAGTATTTTAGATAATTGGGCTCCAGATAAAGCAAGCCTTACTCTGTACACACAACTCATTCCTGTGTAAATAATTGGTTTGTGCCTGACAATGGACTGTATTGGCACAGAAACCAGCACTCTGAAAAGGTAAGTCCTTCTGATTCAAACTTCTATATTGATGGTTGGTCATCCATACCAGCTGCCACAAAGCCTCCATTACAACTTTTGTCTCCTGCTAATTCCATTGAGGTTGACACAATTGTTGAGATGGCCACAAGATTATCAGGTGGTCAATACGGGGACAAAGGGTTGGAAATAAAGATATTACTTCAATAGGATGATAAATGAGGATGGGGATTTAGTTACAGAAAGTCCCTTTGCCCAGAACAAACTCTGTCTGATGGCTTAATAAATAAAGCCAAGTAAATGAAGAAGATTCAGAATTGGTAGGCAAACTTCTTGGTAACCAAAAACATTGATGTGAGCAAGTATACAGCATATTCTTGAAATTCAAGTGTCAGAAAAAAAAGCTTTGTTGAATCACTTGTTTGGAATGCTGGAGTTAGCTATAGAACTCAGATTCCAGTTATGAACAGAGGCAGCAAGGTTTGCTGACATCCTCTTTTATTTCATTACATCCAAAATTTTTCGGTGCACCTAAATTTTTAGGTCAGGTGCACTGGTGTACCCATTCCTAAAAACACAGAACTTACCATATGGGATGGTGGCGTTCTGTGCAGGTTTGGAGGCGTCTGCGGAGTTCCAGATGCAGTAGCTGCCGTCAGCGTGAGCGCTCATGAACTGGTCACCGGAGCGATGCCACGCCAGGGACTCCAGTTGCTGTGGGGTTAAATGCTCACAGTGAAGCTTCGAAACAACTTTGTGTAACTCGCTAGTAACAGTTACCCATTGCCACTGGATGTCAATAAAAGTTAATTTACTACATGGCAAGCAAGTAAGGTACTTTACACCCAACTGTGATCTAACAGTTAATCCTGCACTAATACCAATTCAACCTTTGGCACACAAATTAAAATCTGCTTTGGCTGTCACACTAAGGACTCCTGTTGCAGTGAGACTTCACAAGAAGCTTTTTTTCAAACAGCTACTTTTTCAAACTGGTACTGAAATGTGCTCTGATCTTATAAAAATTTCAGCACTTTCACATGTATGATACAAAAATCAATAGCCTGTCATGCAAGTCAGGCATCCTTTTGATGTTTACAATTCTATGGGATTTTGTCCAAGACTTTCCAACAACATAAATCACACCTTTTGCCTTCAAGAGTACCAAGTTAATGATACAATTCCCAAAACATTACACATATCATGTCCTCACAACTGTCATGTACTTTCCAAGCAGATGTTAGGCCTGTTTTGGACATTTTAAAAGCTATTTTACATGTTTTGTCTGGCTTTCTATTTTCTCTGCTATTCTTGGGGTGTCCTAAACAGAAAGACAATCCAACAAATGATACCCTAGGCCAAACGTCTGCTTGGAGAGTATTATGATGCAGTTTCCACATGTTACTTGCCACACCAGAGTGACCACCACCAAGTGTCCCAAACCCCCAATGCACACTCACACCCTAACTCTATAAGGAAGAAGGGATGCATACTAACAGGGGGTACCTGGGGCGCAACATACGTCTGCTCGGCATTGCAGGACTTGTTGTCCCACAGGACGATCAGTCCACGGTTGTAGCCAATGAGAAGTTTGTTTGAGTCCGTTGGGTGCTCGGCGATGGCCTCCACCGCGCCAGGGTTTGCCTTGTAGTCATCAGGCACACTACAGGAGGAGTAGGAATGGTTTACCTTACAAGTTATGTTCGCAAGACATCATTGCTTTAACTTTCTGTAAATAAAGCTGTGTGTAAAAAAAGCTGTCTAAAAATATACTTGAACAGGCTTGCACATTTACATTACACTGGTGGTTTTTGTTTGGATCTTACAAAAACATGTCTTTAATTTTCACTACAACTTTCTGAAAGGTCAATCCCAGTACATCCTTTGGTAGTTGCTTCAGAGATACTATCTCTTGCTGGCAAAATGAAAAGAAAACACACTGTACATTTTTCAGCAGTTTTCACTTGAATACACCATGGCAATCAACATGGCCCCAATGTTGGTGCATTCACTCGGGTGTGACTGAGAGATGTTGACGGAAACACGCTCCTCCCATTTCTCACTGAACAGACAACAGTCTGCTTTCTAAATTGTTGTAAGTATGTGTTGACTTTGGTACAGACACCACAGGAATCCGTCTGTTCATTGTATAAACATGACAGTTGAGCAACTCTACCAAAATACATTTAGTAAAGTTTGATTCACCCATATTTGAATGGAATGGTCCACACACTGGCATGTTTTCCCAGCTACCCAGGCAGTACCATGTTACCATAGGGGTGTTAAAACTTCAGCCAAAACTGACCAAGAAGGCCATTCAGGGGACAGATAAAATCTATGGCATCACAAAAGGTAGGATTTTGTCAGTGTAAAAATAATCTAAGGGACCACCAAAACGTGGTCACATTGGGCAGGTGGTCTGTGTGTGTACAGACTGTACTGTACATACTTCTGCATGACGACATCCTGGTAGATGATGTGGTCCAGCAGCTGGAATGTCTTGACGTCCAGCAGGTAGATGTTTCCTCCCTCTGTACCCAGGAACAGGTGCTCCTGTGTGGATGGCAGGCAGCACACCGAGATCTTCTTCAGCCTGGAACAAACAAACAAAAACAGACTCTGTCAGACCGAGCGCCAGACTCCAGGTTCACGGTCGATTACACGGTCCGGTGTAGACACTGGGCTTTACACAGACAAAGGGAGGTAAGTGATAGGTTTTCGCTGGAGGCATTCCCAGAATACCGGATGACTTCAGCAGGAAGCTTCCCTGGAGTCCTGCCCAAAACATGGGATTTACATGCTTGAAGTATGCAATGGACGAATGCAAGGGAGGGCATTTCAACGTAAGGTATCTTTAAACATATAATAACATGTCTGTCAGCTTAAGCCGTACATGTATACTTGTGACCAAAAATAGTAAGGATTTTTCTTTTAAAAACAGGGGAACATGCAAGCAATATTTAACACCAACACACTTAAAAATCCAAATATGAAATGGGAAAAAAACATTTTACTACAATTTTGATGCCTTTTCAAGCAAATTCAAAAACAATCTGATGGACCACCCAGAGAGCGTGTGCTAAAAATCAGTACTGCATAAAGCGTACAGTAAGCAAACTTTCTTTTCCCATGTATAAAACATGTTGGCTCAATAACAGGCCATTTCCAGTTCAGCTGTGGTTGTCAACTCACCATCAACAGTTTCCTCCCCCCTACTGGAAGTCCATAAAAGTTTATTTACTACACGGCAAGCAAGTAGGGTGCTTTACACCCAACTGTGATCTAACATTTAATCCTGCACTAATACCAATTCAACCTTTGGCACACAAATTAAAATCTGCTTTGGTACACTGATAATACAAGTGATAACTCTCTAGCCATAAGCAATTCACTTCTGGACTCTTAACTTCTGACTTTTGAACTTCTCCTGGCCACACAAGGTGTTGAGTAGTTCCTAAAGGTCAATGTGCTTTTCAACTTTGACCTTCCCTGGCCACACAACATGTTGAATAGCTCCTAATGAAGCATGCTACAGGCTATTAATGCGTTTCTGAACTTTGGTCTTGCCTGACCACACATGTGTTAGTATGTTGCTGACCTGCCCTCCAGGGAAAAGTCCTTGACCTCCTCCAGGACAGACTTGCCATCCTTGATGTTGACCTCCCACAGGTGCAGCGAGTTGTCATCCAGCAGACTGATCAGTCGGCCCTAAAAACACATCACAAGGGGTGAGATTGATACTACTGGTAAAGGCTTGGTCTACCTATTTACAACTAACACTGGTAAATGCAGCAGACTTCAACAAGACTTCAATTCAGTATAATTTCTTGACTCCATTTTTTTTCACAGAAGTAATATAATTTACGTCAGAGAGATTTATTTTTACCATTGCTTATTACAACAATTTACCCAGTTGATAGAATAAAAACTACTAACGTCATAGCTAACTTTAGTACATCAAATTGTAAGTTACCATACAAACTAGAGATCAATGGCATTTGATTCTCTTATGAAGATATTACAGTCAGGTACTCTTCAATGTCGATGATGGAATATTCCCTGAATTTCCTACTTTGACTGATAAGCCTCCCCAGGGCCCACAGTCACTAAACACGATGATACCAGATCTCCCAGAAATATTTCAGATTAAACACTGAGTAATCCTCTTATCACTGTATTGTGGCAGATGTCAGGAGAAGAGGTCATAAAGCTTCTCCCAAGGTCAACAAAAGTAGAAAGGCGAAATGAAACACTTCTATAGCCATGACAGAGGCTTCTTAGAAAACTGTAACTATACAAATATACATGTATTTCAAATGATTTTTTTACAGCTTTGCATACATCGTTTTTCTCATCATGATGTAATATAGATTTGGTTCAAGTGGTTGTACAATGAGACATTACAATGTCACATGCTTGTTCCTTATAAGAGTTTTTGCCCCAAAGCGTGTATTACGACGTACAAACATATTTGGTTGGCGACTTCTTAACAACAGAGGCTCCATATCCGTCAACATCGGGCACTTATCGCAAGGAAATTTCCCTTGAATAGCCCCTCACAATTCCAGTTCTGCAACCTTTCAATGACAAATACATTTCCATATCTGACACCCCCTACACTTAGCCCGCAAATTAGTATCCCTCCCCTAGGCAAACATATTGTTTCAACGGAACGTCCCAAGAGACAAGAAACCTGCAGAGAACATATCAACAGTACCTGCAGTAATCGGAAAATAATTGCAAGGAGACTCCTAATTTCCCCTGGAGGTTTTCTTTCAGCACACATGAACAGGCAACAGCTCAGAGTCTTTCTTCATTTCACGGCTCTCTTATCACCATTATTCAAAAAGAAGCAGTCAGGTATAGGGACAACGACAGTGCTCTACATATATAGCACTGCAGGCTGTGTTCTACAAGCCTCTAGCAGGCTTCAGAAGTGGCTAGAATGAGTAGAAATTGGTGCACAAGCAGCATACTGTACTCTCTTTAGCAGATGATATCTATTTTGCCAATTTCTACTCTTTCCAGCTGCTTCTGAAGCCTGGTAGAGGCTAGTGTTCTACCGGAGTTGGAAGTGGGTGTAGGCTTAATTTGGGAGGTATTTGCTCTTGTAAACTGTCTCTGATCTTGGCCAACTGCAGAGAGACTGGGCCATGTGTTTTATCTTAAATATGGACATTGTTCTACACCAACATTTCTTCTAACATAAAAGGAAAAGGCCACAACCGCCTGTCTCTACATCATGTAAATTCATCACAACTTTTACAGTCCGAAAAACGTTAGACTCAAGTACTGCTCTGTTATAATCATTATCATTCACTGTGCCCAATGGCTGAAAATCAATTATCATAAGTGACATGAACATCAAAATATCATAGATTTTAGACATGCCAATCAAAATTTTACACATGCTATTCAAGATACCCAGCTGTCTCAAACAATTAGATTTGTCATGGACTGAAGTGGATGTTTCAGTGGTGACTGTGGTTCTAATTCAAAGTGACTTTTAAACCTGTTGACAGTAAAACATTCTCTATTCCCAGACCAAGTCCAACTGTATACGTCCTTGTGGTGAGGCTGTCCCTTATATATCCATCCTTTCAGGCATCAGAGGCAGGGTTTACCAAAGGCTTACCAAACAAAACCGACCACTAGCCCAGCTACAGGCTCGCTGACTGCCTGACTGCAAAACAAACCCCAGAATTTCCCCAGGAATGTCTGGACTTCCGTGGCTGGGGGGCTCCTCCCCCCTCAAGCATAAACTTCACCACAGACCCAACTGTCGACAAATCTAACAGGTAAAACCTCATCTGCATAACACCGACCTTCCCTCAAGGATATACCTCAATTTTCAGAGAAGCAATTACCCCTATTGGGGTTCAATTATTGAAAGGATTGCTGTTAATCATTTCTACTTCAACTACAATAGCAGCCGTATTGTTTTGTGGTGTTGCATAATTTACCACGATACCTAAGGGTGAATTTGTGGAATCCGGGTACGACCCACCTTTATGGAGGGTATTGTGTGGGAACCTAACTGTCCATTTGGGTGGAAACTGAGTACAGGATCAATATACAGCATGGGATCAATATGTGAGAAGTGTAAGCACACTTTACACTACATACAGGGAACAAACAAAGGAGCTTTGCACTGAGTTTCAACCACCTGCCTCACATCCGTCATCTACTTCAGCTCATTTTATTCAAGTTACAGCATTTGCCAACATATAAATCAAACATGGCAGCTGACAAATTTTTAAAGTAAGTTTTGATGAAGATGGGTATACTGCTTTTGAAAATGCATAATTTAACCCAATCATTATATCACACCCGAGTTATGTAATACAAAATAAATGAAGACACTGGATAAATTCCCTTACAAGAATTTAGAGAATGTATCCAGTCGCTTGATTAAAAAAAATAAATAAATCATTAGTGTTATACATAATGTTCTACCTGGATGCCTAACCCAAATTCATCAACGCATTACATAAGTGCCCCCCAAAATGTATCCATGAAATTACAGAGGAAAAATAGTTCTATGTTTTAGAGTCACGTTTCAGACTCATGAATAATGTTATCCTTAAGCAGACATATCTTCACACACCAAGGCTATAGCCAGCTCACGATCAAGCCTTCAAAAATGCAATTTCCTGCATTTCTGGAGGCAAATCATGGGTTGAGGGTGGTTGTTGGTGGTCCTTTGGATGTTTTTATATTTTTACCCAAGACGTTTGTTAATTTCATCTGTTAAGATTGATGGATTAGTTTTAAAATGTCTCCATTACACACCCCAAAGTGTCAGCAATTGACGGGGAAACGGTGCTGGCTAGAGCTTGGTCGCACAGTGTCTTAGAAAGCTGAAGTAAATGTACTCACCTCGTTGGGCAGGAAGAAGAGCCTGATGATCTGACTCTCCACCGAGTGTCTGGCCGAGAACTCCACACCTGGCTGGCCATAGCTGGGAACACCTGGTCAAGGAACCTTTACTGGGTACAGGTGAACACAGGGTACTGAACAGAACAATACACACGGTCTTCTTACTGAGTACAACACAAAATAGAAAAAAATCTTACTACCAGCCTTGACATTTGCCTAGGTTAAGACTTTTGGAAAATCACTATGGAAAGTGTAATTCTAAAGGAGAATAGAACTTGAAGAACCACATGTAGTAAGTACCTTTAAGATTTTTTACGAGACCTTATTATATAAAAGTATCATACTATAGAAGAGCATCTAGAAAAACTTGAAGAACCACATATAGTGTCACAATAACAGAATGACGTCATCTTGTCTCACAGTGTTTATCTTTAATTAGAGATGCCACAACACCTGGTAGTGTGAGAGATTACAGGGGACTTGTACCTCTTAGTGTACAGCCAGATACTGTAAGTCTCTTTAGATTCGCGGGGCCTAAAGTTCGCGGTTTCGGGAAAATGGACAATCCGCGGTATTTTTAGATTCGCGATGTCTCCTTGGCTATTTTTCAAAGAAAAATTTGTAAAGTGTATATTTAAAATAATAAAAGTTCGTGTTCCGGCACTTATCTCCTAAAACGCGGCGCAAAAATTTGTTTCGTGCACCGCGCGAGACTGCCGGCGGTATAGCTGACGATCGATCTGACGCACGTGTAAACAATTTTCTTTGTTCGGAAATAAGCGCTAAAATGCTATTTTCCACGACTACACATCGATACTCTAGTGAAGAAATGCATAATCGAAAGAATATATATATTACTAAGCAAATTTCTGCCGTCTTCGGCGAGATTTTGAACCCGGAAGTATGCAAAGGTCGCCTTCGGTTTTGTAGGCCCACGGTGAGCGTTTCTATCCAGCAAAACAAGAAGAAGAAAAAACGCCCGCAAAGCAGGGCGCAAAAGATAACCAACTAACATTTCCCAGGTACCAGCCGTTATATTTTTCATAAAAATACTTGTAGATATGCCCGATGTTCCCGCAATTTTCAAGCGCCCGGGCGCGCATGGCCGGCGCTCTGCACGCATAGATTTTTTCGGCGGTACACGGTTGACACGGCCAGTGCCGCAGTATCGCGATTCGGTGTCTCATAATATTATATTTTTTTGACATCAGTATAAAAATTTGGTACTCAACATTTGCTAAGAATAAAGTTGATTTGCAGTGATTTGTGAATCGCGTGTGTTTGTGTTTCGCTTACCGTGGTGAATGCATGTGGGGAGGGGGCGCACTTACGCAAAACATATTCGCGGGGAAATAGATTCGCGGTACAAAGGTCCCCGCGAATGCCGCGAATCTAAATATACCGCGGAAATTTGTAGACTTACAGTATCATGCAGGGATAGCATGGATCTCATGGCAGCAGTCAACTCTGCCCTTCTGCATGGAACTGTCAGGATGATGTGGATAAAGCCATGTTTTCATTCACAGGATTCCCTCCTATTGTGACTATAAGCCTTTTGACTGATGTGTTTACTGGAACACCTGCAGGTACATTACGTGGATGGAATGTAACATTTCAGTCTGGGAGTCAGACATGGAAGAGAACCTAGTGTTAGGGAAATCCTCCAGCAAAAGCCT